GGGTGTAGGTGTGAAGGCGGTTCTAGGAGAAATGGCTCTGCCAGGACCTAGCTCTACCGCCCTCTCCGCTTGTCACGATAGCAGAATCAAATGCACTATCGGAAGCAATTAGCAATCCTGCATCTATATGCATGCAGTTGTTCTGCGGGTGAGGTAATGTCCTACGTAGAGCAAAAAACTCGATACGGGAATCAGGCGGTGGGAAGTTAGTTAATTGCCTAGAGTTAGGACAAAGGGTTGCTGTACCTTTTCGTCCATTTCAGTTTCGGGAGCATCTTGCTGATCTAAAGACGCGAGCTCCTTTTGTTGTTCCTTCTGGAGACGATCCCCCGGCTGCTCCGGCGTATCAGCTGGCAGGGCATCTTCCGCGTCACCCTGGTGTGGGGCCATCTTCCAAATTGCAGCTAGCTAGGCGCCTCAACAACAATAACTGGTGGTGAAACTTACGCGAGATAGAATTTGCACACGGAGAACACGTCGAAATGCTGAGACACCCTCCTCCCGTTCAAGCTGTAGCCAAGGCGAAGACCCCAAACCAGCACCTCTAGGTCAAGTGGCAGCAGTCTTATTAGCAAGAATGCAGGCTAAGACGTAATCAGTAAGAGGCATATACACAGGAAATGCTCAAGTAGAGAGGCGTTGGANAGAATGCAGGCTAAGACGTAATCAGTAAGAGGCATATACACAGGAAATGCTCAAGTAGAGAGGCGTTGGAGCCAATATTAACGGACCAGCTGCCTATAGAGCACCAAACAGCACCAAAAATGGGCGGAGGCAGCCGATCATCTACCAACAACTACAGCCAAAAGAGGCAGGGGTGGAGCTTCTTACATTAATTTGACTTAAGCGTCACTATGCTTTCTCTCTACACAGAGCAGAAAGACAGATGAGACCAGCGCGAGTTGGACAAATGTAGGTGTCCAGAGGCGGAAATCCAGTTGGATGGACCATTAACGCGTTCTTCGAGGACCCCTAAAACAAAGATCCATAATACGGTTAACAGGCAGCATGTAGTATGCAGAATATTACAGCGAAATGCCACAATCAGCTCACCGCATGCATTATACGCCGGTTTGGGGCCCGGCATCAAGATGAGCACAGGATCTTCCTTCTCCCCCAATCCTTCTCAAGTAGGAACTGCCCTTGATTTGCTATTTCTATGCTATTTCAAGGAACTGCGAACTATCAAATGTTTTTAAAAAAGAGGATGTACCACCAAGCACTGAAGAAAACCAAAGTTACGTGGTTTAGTTATACACATAAGGCAACCCAACATGTGCTACATACGCGATCACATGAGGGTTATGTTCGTCTTTGTTCACTATATACGGCTCCATGGGCTAGAAACCCTAAATGAGGAGACTGCAACCGTAGTGCATTCTCTAAGTGGGGCCTTTTCCAGGACANTGGGCTAGAAACCCTAAATGAGGAGACTGCAACCGTAGTGCATTCTCTAAGTGGGGCCTTTTCCAGGACAGCCGTGTACGTAAGTCCTACTGATGAGCTGAAATGGAGTCACCCCAAAGCAACTGATGACCTCCCCTTCAGTCGCCATGTCTCGAAAGCACAGTGGTATAAATGCCCTGGGGGGGTACGGGGAAGAGGCAACCCCACTGCTTTATATGAAGTCTATTGTTCTCTTGAAAACTAAAGGTAGGGAGGGGAGTCCCCGCTGCACCTTTAACAGCCAGTAGCAAACAACAATCAGTACCAAAAGGGAGTTGAGAGGTACGTAGTGCGTGTGTGGCTTCTGTCCATCTTGGGGCTCCATCGCTCCATCGAGGTCTTCTTAAGAGACAGTAGTAGTTGGCACTGTCTGTACGCCATGAAGGTGCTTCGCAAGTAACGTTTTGCCCTGTCAAGTGCCATTCCGGTAGTTAATTGTTTAGTCGGATGCCTGTTAATTCCAGTTACCGCCCTATATGGCGCAACGCCTGGCTCCCCTTTAGCAGCTGCCTGATTCTTATTCCACCCAAAGCTCAGCTGATACACACGACAAAATTTCAGACATAATGTAGTAGGGGAGCCCAGAGGAGCGTTCAAAGAATATCTGATTCCGCTCCTGCTGGAAGGGCCCGGTACTAAATTGACACCACGCGGCCCAAAGGCACCACCACCGTGAGATTGGGTAGCTGCTGGCTTCGCTGAGAGGACCATAGCTGATGCATTTGCCTGTAAATCAAGAACCACGCAAAAGCCTTAGCTTCGAATCAGGCATTTAGCTGCAGCGCGCGGCGAAGCAAAGAACTGTTTCGCTCCGCTGGAGAAGGAAGGCAGGCAGCGAAGGCGCCATCGCCACCACCATTGCCTTTCTACAAATGAGGGGTCCAGTGACAGCAAATACAATTTCTCACTACAACTCATGTAGCGGCTCTGAATCTTTCGAGATAACAGAGATGAAGAACATTGCCTCGTCCGGCATGGGAGGCGCAGTCTCGTCACCCCTTTGTATTCAAAGGGATTGCTTTACCGATCAAAAGTTGAAAGGGAGTTAGTTATGGCCACAATTGCGTTCCCCTTCTTAGGAGACATAGACTGTGCGTTTTCTACTCCCTTTTTTTCCTTGCGTACGCAGAAGCCCTTCAGCTTCCAACGTACTTCACAGCAACGGGTCCTGAAGGCATTTCGCTGTCTACCCTTCTGCGCTTCACTGTTGTTTGCAACATCCGCACGCACCGAGGAACCATTTGAAACCCTTGTACCTTCTTGTTACTTCTGCATTCCGAGAAGAGCCCCCTTCACTATCAATACCTGTTAAACGTAAAGTATCCAGCTGTGTGGCGAGGCCTTCAGCTGCTTCCTCGCTTCAACACTTGTCAAAGCAGTTAAGAGAATCCACAGAATCACTCAAATACTGTAGCTCGGGTATCGACTATTTCGGATGGATGTGGCGGCTCCATCCCAACAAGCTTCCCCACGTGCACATCTAAAAAAGTTACACTGATTCCTCTGATTACATGCGATTGCAACTAATTTTTGCCCATTTATACGCATACGCAGATCCTAAATTTCTAAAAAATATCCGGGACGAATTGATGGCTACATTGATTTTTCCTGCGGACTGTACATCGGCACAGGCATCTAAGCTGTGGGAGCACTTCTGGCTACAGTGGCCCAACTCAGCCTCAAAAGCCTCAAATACCAAATACTAACATTTTTTTCT